CCCGCCGCTCCAGCCATGCCCCTGATGCGTTTTGCCATACCCATCGAGCTTGGTCATAGGTTTGACTTTGTGAAGTTAGAACTGCCCAGGAAGTTTTTAGGGAAGGCATCAAGGGATTTGGGGATGGGGGGGAATGTTAGAACAGTAAGGTAATTATAGACAATGTATGGTGCCTGGGAATCTGTGTCTACCTAGTCCAGGCACTGCACATGTTCACGTTAACCCCTTCCCACCAGCGCCAATGTCTCTTTTAGTAGGTCTATATAACCAATCACGTGGCCACTTGTTGGCTTGCAACACAATCCCCATCTTAAGAAACATGAATAAGCCTAAGCAGGGTGAAGTGTGTCAGAGGGGCGTTGCTTAGGGTGGGGATTGTGTCAGAAGACGAATTAAACTTCATGGTGTGACTTTGAGGAGTGTGGCTCGTATCTTTGTTTGCTAAAAATGCCTGAGTGTAATGAGCTGTTAAAAGCCAGGACCAGTTTTTTGATTGAAAAGATACTTTTATTACAGAAGTATAAAAAACAACATGATACTTTGTAATCGGGGTACATCTCACCCTGTACTGCGACGCAGCGCACCACATTGCAATACAGTTCTAAGCATACGATAAATACATTCAGAAATAAATACATTCGCTCAGCGGTATGATGCCTGACGTGATGTGCGTGGAGGATGAATCCCCCAGACCAACACGTCATGCATAACGCCGCTTACCCCAAAAACCATAGCATCCTAATACACAGTACATTTCCTAATATCACTAAGTCATGCAAAAACGAAAAACGAATGTTACAATCTACAATAGGCATCGGGGTGTGGGGGGGGGGGAGGGGGAAAAAAGGGGGAAACACAGGCCCGAAGCTTTATTGAAGGGACAAAGACACGCAAGGGGGAGTAGGGGGAAGGGGAGATCTTCAGACGTCCTCTTCCTCCTTAAAGTCCATCAAGGTATAGTCTCTGAGCAGACTGAGAATCAGTCTGCGGCAGTCCTCAATGGACATCCTCTCCCGCTGGTGGATGAGGCGCTTCCTGGCGCACCATAAAGCGTCCTTAAAACAACACAGCACCCGCCAGGCGCCGTCAATGTCCTCCAGAAAAAGTTCCACAGAATAGTCCATTCAACACCCCAAAGTGAGTGATGGCTGTCTGTGGTACAAAGTCCTTGAGTTCAGGTTCCAGGGCCCCCAACAGGGCCTGAGCAAAAGAGCACTCCCAGAAAACGTGGTGAGACGTTTCCTCATGGATGATGCAGAAGGGGCAGTGTCTGTATCTGCTCAGGTTCCTGGCATGCATAAATGTCCTGAGAGGCAACCCCCTTGGATTGCCATCCATGCCAGGTCTTTGTGCCTGTTGGTGAGAATGTTGGAAGAAACATTCCTCCAGACCACCTTGCAGGTGTCTGAAGGCAGGCCTGGAACCGACTCCAAAATGTCGCTTGCTCGGATGAGCTTGTAAATGGTCTTTGGTTTCCACAAAACAGGCTTGACTCCCTGCAGCCCCTGCTCCCTGATGAACTTGAAGGTATCCAAGTAGTACCAAGGAGTGTCCCAGTTGTAGGGGATGGAACTGTCCCAAGTGTCCCACCCGAGGGGCCTCCAGAGAAGCAACAGGAAGAAGCGTGACATTGCGTTCCCGCCAGAGTCCATAATCCTTTTGGGCAAAGTTCTGCGGATGCAGTTGCAAGCAAAGAACACCCTCAGTTGGGTGGCGATGTCGGGCACGCCCTTACCGCCCTTGAGGGGTTCCTTGAACATGACTGCCCGCTTCACTCTGTCCATCTTGGAGCTCCAGATGAAGTGAAACACCGCCCTGGTGATGGCCTTACAGGTGTTGACCCGAGGGGGCCAGGCCTGGGCGAGGTACTGCAACACAGGGAGAATCTCGCTGCAGAGTACCAGTGTCTTCCCTTCGATGGTGAGGTCTCTGAGGCTCCGAAGTCCAAATTTCTGCCTCATCTTTGCTAGTCTCTCCTCCCAAGACTTCAGGGCTGCGCCCTCGACACCAAACCAAACTCCCAGAATTTTCATGAAGTCTGTCTTGATGCCAAAGGGCATGGATGCAGAAGAAGGCAGGAACCACTTTCCGAAGAGCATGACTTCCGACTTCCCGCAGTTGACCTTTGCCCCCGAAGCTTGGCCGAAGTCCTCGCAGGTCTGGACGAGCAGGTCGATGGAGCGCTGGTTGGCACAGAACACCGTCACGTCGTCCATGTAGAGCGAGCACTTCACTTCCCTTCTGTCTGGTCCCGGTGCGGTGATTCCCCCGATCTCTGGATTCCGTCTGATGCATTCGGCGAAGAGCTCTATACAGCAAACAAAGAGCAGAGGTGAAAGAGGGCAGCCTTGTCTGACCCCGGAGAGGACCGGGAAGGGGTCAGTTTTCCAGCCGTTCACCTGCACGGAACTGCAAATATCGTTATACATAATATCCACGTACGAACAAAACATTTCCCCGAGACCAAACCTGCACAGGGCTCTGCACATAAACCCATGGGAGACACGGTCAAAGGTCTTTTCCTGATTAAGACTGACCAGGGCCGCGTGCACACGGCGGTCCTTGATGTATTGGACCGTGTCCCGGACAAGCGCTAGGCTGTCCGCAATCCTGCGGCCAGGAATGCCGCAAGTCTGATTCGGGTGGATGATCTGTCCGATGACAGCCTTCAGCCTGTTCGCCAGGACTTTGGCGAGGATCTTGTAGTCCACGTTCAGGAGAGAGATGGGACGCCAATTTTTTAAGTCACATCTCTCCCCCTTACGCTTGTACAGGATCGTGATCATCCCCTCCCTCAACGAAGGAGGCATCTTGCCCTCCACCACCATCTCCTCGTACAGCTCGAGCAGGTCCGGGCCCACGAGGTCCCACAGCGCTACATAGAGCTCTGCTGGGAGACCGTCGCAGCCCGGGGTCCTGCCCCGCCTAAAGGATTTAGCGGCAGAGTGCAGCTCCTCCAACGTCAAGGGGGTGTTGGTGGCCGACAAACCTGCAGGATCAATAGCATTAGAGATACCTGACAAGAATCTGTCAGCCGCTTCCGTGTTTGTTTCTTTGGGGGAGTAGAGGTCGGTGTAGTAGTCGCTGACCACTTCCATCACGGCCTCCTTCCCCTTCTGGAGTGTTCCAGTCTTGTCGCGCAGCTCCGACAGGGGTGTGTGTCCTGAGTGGAGTTTCCTGAAAAAGAAAGAGTTACACTTCTCACCTTTCTCTAGATGCTCCACCTTGGCACGGAAGACAATGTGCCTGGATTCTTCCTCAAAGTGCTTTTTCAAGCTCTTCTTGGTGTCCTCCAGGTCTTGCCTCACGTCCCAGCCACAGTGATGAAGGTCCTGTAGGGACTGCAGCTGACGCTGCAATCTCCTGAGTTCCCTCCTCCTGGCACACACTTGCTGGCGTCCCCTGGCCTGAAAGAAGCTGCGCAGCTTGACTTTCACGAACTCCCACCAGTCGCTTACCTTGGGAAAGAAAGACTTTTCCTCTCGCCAGGCACCGTAGATTTCCCTGAGCTCCTCTAGCAGTTCCTCATCGTCCAGCAGGGTGCAATTCAGCTTCCAGGAGCCTGGGCCCGGGGCAAAGCCCTCTCCCAGGTCACCCCGAAACTGAATGGCCCTGTGGTCAGAGAAAAAGCCAGGACCAGTGGGGAACCCAAGGAACATACTCAGGATTTGGAACAGTGCAGTCTTCCGTTGGTTCCCCACTGTGATTGGCCATCACAGTGGTCACATGATTGAGAGCACATGCCGCTGGATCACTCTTGATTGAGAGCACTGAGCCGCTGGATCACACTCTTTATGAGAGACTGAGAGCTGTCTAGATACAGGGAGTATGCTCTCAGCACAGGAATTTTGTCCGTCCCTGAATGTATACGCAACATGTAGGCATAAAATCCCACCCCCTTTGCTGATGCACATATAAGTTACATGGGTAACCAGAGGGTAAAGTAGATCCAACCCCATGAATTTTTTTTAATTCCTTCCTTCTGCCCAGCCACTGAAAATATATGGACAGGCGGGTCAAGGGTTGTGCCCATACGTCTTCCCGGAAACTGCACCTTGTGCTTGTTCCTGGAGGTGTTCAGCAGCACAATCCTGTGACCACTGAACACAGCCAATCACCAATCATAGCACCGGGTGGCTATGCTCTGCCCAGGTACCATGTGATTACTGTGACCAATCATAGTAATAAAAATGGCTGTCATTCATACAGCCATTGAGAACTACTTTAAACTCTGTGATTGGTCACAATGATCACATGGTACAAGGCCAATCACAGCGGCCCTGTACCATGTGATAGCTGTGGCCAATCGCAGCCACCACAGGAGTTCTCAATGGCTGCATTAATGCAGCCAAGAACTGTGAGAAATGATTGCTTATAAAGCTATCAGAGTGCAATCCCCTCTCCCCCCCCCCCCCCCCCCCCCCCCCCCCCCCAAAAAAAAAATTCTCAATCACCTCCTTAGAGTAGTGCAGTATCAACTATGGCTCTTTGAAAAAAAAAAAAAAAAAGAATAAATATTTTTTTTTACTTACTGTCACCAGAGCAATTGCAGTGTCACTATGGTGGCATTGTATTGCTGTGGCAGTGATCATGCACAATTGCATAGCTCTCAACTGTCCCTGATTTCGAGGGATTGTCTCTGATTTGGAACAAAGTCCTTCTGTCCCTCTTTTGTCCTCATTTGTCCCTCATTTTGGTCTGATCCCTATATCTTTATATAAAATGCACTTTTTATCTTTCAAAAGTGTTTCCCAGTGCTAAACCTTTCATCTAATTTCTAAATTGTTGCATTTGTAAATTCCAAAAGCCAGTATAAAGTAATATTAGTGGTAAAAAAATCAGTTGTAGATTTAAAGTGTTACAAAAACCCAGGACCCTACATTCACTATATCTTGTCTCCCACATTACACAGAACATTGAAATGCAATTTTTTTAGTAAATATAAACTGCTAAATACCTTTTCCCATCAGCAGTTAAAGCAGTCTTGTGACTTCTATCAGTGTTCAGCAGAGCACTGTTTAAAGCTTGTAGGAGTTTTCTTTCTGCTCTGGGAGGATGAAGATCCCTTGACCTCTGTCTAGACAGTGCTAATTGGCCCTGTGTTGATCACATGCACTCTTCCAGGAAAAAAATAACTCTCTAGCAATACACACCAAACTGAGCATGTGCAGAGTGTCTCCACACGATATGTCTTATCAGGAGATGAGGGGGCACTGGAAGAAGGGGAGGATCAGAGAAGTGAGGATCGAACAGCATTAACCCCTTAGGTTCCACAGTGAGTATACTAAGCATGCTTTACTGCATATAAAGACTGATTTTACTGTTGTGGGTTTAGTAACACTTTAACTAACCTTTTTTTCTTGTATAATATGGTGGCGTGGCAGGGGGTGTCTCCTATACCTACATACTTTTGCCAATTTGTATCCCGTGTTCCCTTCTTAAAAAGTTAGGAGGTATGCAATTGTTGGCTGCTCGGATATCACTGCATGTCAGATTTGCCAGCTATGTCTGTTCAACCCAACAGCAGTGGAATGTCACCAGACCAGTACTGCCAGTGTCCCTAATCACCGCTACCCACTCACAGTGTCCCTGATCACCGCCACACCAGTCATATTGTCCCTGATCACCGCCACATCAATCACAGTGTCCCTGATCACCTCCATACCAGTCATATTGTCCCTGATCACTGCCACACCAATCACAGTGTCCGTGATCACTGCCACACCAGTCATATTGTCCCTGATCACGCCACACCAGTCATATTGTCCCTGATCACGCCACACCAGTCATATTGTCCCTGATCACTGCTACACCAATCACAGTGTACCTGATCACTGCCATACCAGTCATATTGTTCCTGATCACTGCCACACCAATCACAGTGTCCCTGATCACCGCCACACCAGTCATAATGTCCCTAATCATTTCCACACCAGTTAAATTGCCCCTGATCACTACCACGCCAGTCACAGGGGTTTATTTTACTAAGGCTGGTTCACTCAGAATCTGCTGCAGCTGTGCATGGTAGTCAATTAATTTCTAACCTCAGCTTGTTCAGTGAATGCAAGCCATACATCAAATTCCAAATGAATTTTCTTTAGAAAATCAGAAATGAATGCATTTTGTAATCAGATGGTGCCACTGTTGATTTAGGAAATTCGGCAAACCAAGCCTTTAATTTCACCTCGTTGCTACAGAAAATAATTTTCGTGGTCAAGAATATTCTTTTCTTTTCAGGTCACAGCTCATGCTCATTTCTTTTTTTATTACATTTTCTTACATGATTCTTATGTCATTGATTAGAAATTTGTTCATTTTTTAAAAAAATTCCCACATGCCCGATCACTTTAATTCTATGGTCACTCAAAAATTGGCTGTTGCTGTGGCCCACTAATGGTGCGAAATTTGAACGAAAATTCTTAGAAAAGATTTTCGGAATTCGACTCATGTATGGCCAGCTTAAGCTTTAGCTATAAAACCTGTAAGCTGATGAGTGAACCAGCTTTAGTAAATAAACCCCCCAGTGTCCCTGGTCACTGCCACACCAGTCATATTGTCCCTTATTACTGCCACACCAATCATATGGCCCCTAATTACCACCACACCGGTTACAGTGTCCCTGATTACTGCCACACCAGTCATATTGTCCCTAATCACTGCAACACCAGTTACACTGTCCCTCATCACTGCCACTCGACACACATCCACCACCTCCTGTGCTCAAGGACTCAGATCAGAGGAGGACCGATTGAGTAAATAGATATTGTTCATCCAACAATGATCAAAGGTTATGCAGCTCTAACACGAAGCTGGGGAAGCTCGATATTGACTGTTGTAGAAAACAAAAGAAAAGAGCGCACAGGCCTTGCGCATTACCTCAGTAAACAATTCATGTATTTATTGATTAGTTATACTCACAAGAATAGCAGTATAAAAGGCATATAACATCCAAAACCAACACAGGGTTAGATGACACATGTGAGATCCATCCGGAAGGGAGATAAACTCTTGGTCAAGCTGACGCGTTTGGAAGAGGGATCCCTTCTTCCTCAGAGCTAGTCACAAAGAGATTGGTTACCCCTAAGTATAGTGTTCCTCTATGGCCCGGCGCAGGGGTGGACTGACCATTCGAGCACTCGAACACTGCCCGAGGGCCCGGGGTCAGCAGGGGGCCCCATGAGATGCTCCTGGTACCTTCCATTGGCTTTTTCATAGGCTTTTTTTTGTGTGCTGCGAGGACACGGGGGCTCCATGAGTTGTCAATCCGCCCCTGGCCCGGCGCTAATATACTTTTAAGATCCTTTGGTTTCCTAAAGATAAAACATGGCCTCTCTGAGAGTGTATCACTCAAGGTAGGATCACTCTTGAGAATGTTCCAATTTTTAGAGACAATCTGTTTGATTGCCCAGGATTTTTTGTTAATTCTAGTACTGAACCTCACTCTAGTAAGACCACCAGTGGTATTATCGGTAACAGATTTTTTATTTGATACAATTTGATCCGTCTAAGGGTTATCATACGTTGATAAATATTGATTTCATTCTGTCTCTATAAGGCTGTGTTCATAACCCTTTTCTTTAAATTTATTTTTAAGAATTAAACTTTGTTCAATATAGTCATGTTTTAAAGTGCATGTGCGTCTCAATCTACAAAATTGACCGTCTGGGACATTTTTAATCCACTGAGGGTAATGGTGACTTCTCTCATGTAAGTACGAGTTCCCTTCCGTGGGTTTGAAGTGCATTTTGGAGTGGATTTGACCCTCATTAACATGTCTCAATTCTAGATCTAAAAATATTAGTACATTTTCGTCTATCACAGGAGTGAAGGAAATCCCATAAGGATTTTTTCCACAATGATCCATGAACCCTAGTAATTGCATATCCGGAACCTTACACATAATTAAATGTTTTATTCTGACGTTATTTCCCACTTAGTGATTAAAATGAAGACTGGATTAATTAAACGTTGAAATACTATGTCTATTTATGCTAACATAGCATCATCATTATTGTACTTTTATCCTTTTGCATTTGTGATCATATCATAATTTTATATTTAGATTTATTTCTATATCTATATATTTACTTTGTACACTTTGTATGTTATGAATTTGTATGAATTTTTGTGACACGTTTAGTCCCCATAAAAACCCGTTCCCCCTCCCTCTATGAGGCCATCCCACTCACAGGGGCGCGCCGGGCCATAGAGGAACACTATACTTAGGGGTAACCAACCTCTTTGTGACTAGCTCTGAGGAAGAAGGGATCCCCTTCCAAACGCGTCAGCTTGACCAAGAGTTTATCTCCCTTCCGGATAGATCTCACATGTGTCGTCAAACCCTGTGTTGGTTTTGGATGTTACAGTGGGGCAAAAAAGTATTTAGTCAGCCACCAATTGCGCAAGTTCTCCCACTTAAAAAGATGAGAGAGGCCTGTAATTGGCATCATAGGTAGACCTCAACTATGAGAGACAAAATGAGAAAAAAAATCCAGACAATCACATTGGCTGATTTGGAAAGAATTTATTTGCAAATTATGGTGGAAAATAAGTATTTGGTCAATATCAAAAGTTCAGCTCAATACTTTGTTATTTATCCTTTGTTGGCAATGACACAGGTCAAACGTTTCCTGTAAGTCTTCACAAGGTTGGCACACACTGTTGCTGGTATGTTGGCCCATTCCTCCATGCAGATCTCCTCTAGAGCAGCGATGTTTTGGGGCTCTCGCTGGGCAACACGGACTTTCAACTCCCTCCAAAGGTTTTCTATGGGCTGAGAGATCTAGAGACTGGCTAGGCCACTCCAGGACCTTGAAATGCTTCTTACAAAGCCACTCCTTCGTTGCCCGGGCGGTATGTTTGGGATCATTGTCATGTTGGAAGACCGAGCCACGTTTCATCTTCAATGCCCTTGCTGATGGAAGGAGGTTTGCACTCAAAATCTCACAATACATGGCACCATTCATTCTGTCCTGTACATGGATCAGTCGTCCTGGTCCCTTTGCGGAGAAACAGCCCCAACGCATGATGTTGCCACCCCCATGTTTCACAGTAGGTATGGTGTTCTTTGGATGCAACTCAGCATTCTCTCTCCTCCAAACACGGCGAGTTGTGTTTCTACCAAACAGTTCTATTTTGGTTTCATCTGACCATATGACATTCTCCCAATCCTCTTCTGGATCATCCAAATGCTCTCTAGCAAACTTCAGACGGGCCCGGGCATGTACTGGCTTAAGCAGGGGGACACGACTGGCACTGCAGGATCTGAGTCCCTGGCGGCGTAGTGTGTTACTGATGGTAGCCTTTGTTACGTTGGTCCCAGCTCTCTGCAGGTCATTCACTAGGTCCCCCCGTGTGGTCCTGGGATTTTTGTTCACCGTTCTTGTGATCATTTTGACCCCACGGGGTGAGATCTTGCGTGGAGCCCCAGATCGAGGGAGATTATCAGTGGTCTTGTATGTCTTCCATTTTCTAATTATTGCTCCCACAGTTGATTTGTTCACACCAAGCTGCTTGCCTATTGCAGATTCAGTCTTCCCAGCCTGGTGCAGGTCTACAATTTTGTTTCTGGTGTCCTTCGACAGCTCTTTGGTCTTCACCATAGTGGAGTTTGGAGTGTGACTGTTTGAGGTTGTGGACAGGTGTCTTTTATACTGATAACAAGTTCAAACAGGTGCCATTGATACAGGTAATGAGTGCAGGACAGAGGAGCCTCTTAAAGAAGAAGGTACAGGTCTGTGAGAGCCAGAAACCTTGCTTGTTTGTAGGTGACCAAATACTTATTTACCACCATAATTTGCAAATGAATTCTTTCCAAATCAGCCAATGTGATTGTCTGGATTTTCTTTATCATTTTGTCTCTCATAGTTGAGGTCTACCTATGATGCCAATTACAGGCCTCTCTCATCTTTTTAAGTGGGAGAACTTGCACAATTGGTGGCTGACTAAATACTTTTTTGCCCCACTCTATATGCCTTTTATACTGCTACTCTTGTGAGTATAACTTATCAATAAATACATGAAGTGTTTACTGAGGTAATGCGCAAGGCTTGTGCGCTCTTTTCTTTTGTTTTTCTACTACAGTCTTCATCACTGCTACACCAGTTACTGTGTCCCTGATCACTGCCACAACAGTCATATTGTCCCTAATCACTGCCACACCAGCTACACTGTCCATCATCACTGCCACACTGGTTACACTGTCCCTGATCAGTGCCACAACAGCCATATTGTCCCTAATCACTGCCACACCAGTTACATTGTCCCTGATCACTTCCACAACAGTCATATTGTCCCTAATCACTGCCACAACAGTTACAGTGTCCTTTATCACTTCCACAACAGTCATATTGTTCCTAATCACTGCCACACCAGTTACACTGTCCTTCATCACCACCACAGCAGTTACACTGTCCCTGATCACTGCCACAACAGTCATATTGTCCCTAATCACTGCCACACCGGTTACAGTGTCACTGATCACTGCCACACCAGTTGCAGTCTCACCATACCAGTGTAAGCCAGTAAAGGTGTCCCTGATTGTCGCAACACCAGTCCCAATGTCACCACACCAGTGTAATATGCAGATTAGATGTGGTTTGAATCGCATCCAATCTACATGACATGTGAAAAAACATTGTTTCCTATGGTGCCTGTTCACATATGTCCGGTGCATTGGCGGTATGGATTCAGTGCGGTTTTAAAAAGAGTAATTTACGATTTCTGAGCAGTGCGGTCTGGTTCAGGTGCGGATTACAGGTTATTGGCTTCTATGGGAACCATTTCTAAACTGCATGTGTGAACAGGATAAGATCCTGAGCAAATCCTGTCCTGAACCTGATGTAAACCTGACATGAACCGGTGAACAACTTCTTATCAATTATCTGTGAAATGTGAGCTTCAATCCGCACCGCATATGTGTGAATTAGCAGTAGTGTTCCTGATTGCTGCTGCACTAGTCCCCAGTGTCACTAGACCAGTGCAGCCAGCAACAATGTTCCTGACCACGCACATCAGTGCAGCTTTGCCTGCTGCTTATACTGATCCTTGCCTATTAATTGAACACATTTCTGCCTGTTGCCTGGACTGACCCTTTGCCTGTTTGCTGACCATGTCTCTGCCTATGGCTTGAACTGATCCATCTGCACGTTTGACTGCCTGTGTTCTTGTGAGACACCAGTCCCAGCTATCCCCTTGGACAACTGCAGTCCTGGAAACACAGGAAATCTTTTGTTTTTCCTTTCTTCAGTCTCCTGTACTTCCTGGCCAGTGGATATGGAATTCCTGGGGGCAGCCATGTACCAACAGACTGCACTTGCTTTGCTTATAGGAACTGGGACTGCTATAGGTGACGCTACTCTAAGCTCTATTCCCCAACTGCTCGTATAGTTATGATCATTACTGTATATTGGTTTTGATACAATTGGTTTATTTGTGTGATGCAAAAGATACAAATTCTACAAAGTATATGATCAGTCCAAAAAGTGAAAAAGTCTCAAACGTGGTATCGCTTACTCTGCAGGAGTAGCATAATGTGTTTTCGGGTGTGATTCTAAGTATGCCCAAGCTTTGTGTGAGAAATGTCTTATTAAATTACACCTTAGTGTAAAAAAACTATTTAAATTTTCTTTCTGCATATTCCAATAACTTGTGTGAAAACAAAGAAGGCTTATTATGCCTCTTAGAAAATACCTTGGGGTGGTTGTTTTCCAAAATGCGGTCGTTATGTGGGTGTTTTCACTGTCCTGGGGCTCCAGGGCCTCCAAAAATGTGATAGGTAGGTAATTAGATGCGTAATTTATGCCCCCTAGAAAGACTGAAGGTTCTGTGCCGTCTAATTGTTAGATTATGACCTTGTCTAAATGTATTGTCGGAACGCTTGTGTAATGTGCTGGGCCTTCTGGGGTAATGATGTATTTATCTTTTTCTAATTTGGACTGTAGTGCAGATAAACAACTGTTGTTATAAGATAATGTTATACCTATTGTCATATGCCCTGCAGGCTTATGGCGGTTCTCAGTTCTCTTCGTTTCTGTCCCTTTTTTGTTTTCTTTTTATACCTTTTTATATTTCTTGTTTGAGGAATTTGTGTATACATGTAATGTGCTGATGCCTTTTGATCTCTCGGTATGTCACATTCCTTGATATTGTTCATAACTTCATACAGACATCTATGATTGTATTTTATATGATTTGTGTACACATTTTTTCGAATAAACCAGTTTAAAAAAAAAGACCGAAGATGCTCCTTGGATTTTG